TCTATCTATCTATCTATCTATCTATCTATCTATCTATCTGTCTCATCTCTCTCGTCTCTCCCTCTCTCTCTCTATCCCTTTCTCTCATTTCTCCTCTCTCTCTTTATCTATCTCTCTATCATCTCTCTCTCTCTCATCTCTCTGTCTCTCTATCCCTTTCTCTCATTTCTCCTCTCTCTCTTTATCTATCTATCTCCCCTCTCTCTCTCTCTCATCTATCTGAAAGCAAAATTCCACTCGCGCATCATCACAAAATCTCCAGAACCTTAAATCCTACAAACTTGAAATTTGGCACGTCTGTTCCTCTTGGCTTCTAGATGCTCGCTAAGAAAGGATTTTTCAAAATGATCCTCAGAGCATTAGTATTTCGTATATTATTATTATTAACACGTTCTGATGCTAAGGAGTTCTACTCCCCCTCCTCGCCTGAAAAAAATAAATCTCTTCCAAATGCAAAATACGAGCAGAGGAGTTTCAGTTTCACAGCAGCACCAAGCAGGTTTAGTACAGAACAGTTGAGCAAAGCCCCGCCCAGGCTCCTTGCTGTCTCTTCCTTCCTCACACAGCAAATGCTCTTTCAGTTTCCAAACAGCCCTCAACTCTCTCACACAGTGACAGGACGCTAGCCAGATGAATACCGCTGGATGCTGGTAGGCGGAGGCAGAATTTTTTCCTCCTTATTTTCCTCCCCCAAAACTAAGCCTGACCACATAGTTTCGTAGCGAAGCACCTGGGTATCCAGCTAGTTATTATCTAGAAGTAAAAGGTTGAGGTTGTATGTTATGGACCTGCACTAAAAACAGTTCCTGCTCTCGTTTTTTTCCTCCTTACTGTCTTTTGTCTTTGTTTTGATAAACTAATAACGATTTTAAACAAAAAAAAATTGAATAAACCAAGTAATGTTTGGGTATTTTCTTTAGGATCTGATTGAATTGAGTACTCTGGTGACTGAATTCTCCCTGCTTGTTAATGTAAGTACAGCAAAGTTTGCTTCTTTTATTTTTATTCCCTCTGGATTCTAACAAAAGAGAACTGGAATCTAACTGGCTTTCTACCCCAAAAGCTTTGACATTCTGTGCCAGGTAAAATGATAATTAAAGGGGGAAAAATATAGACATATATTTGCAGTTGGCAAACAATCATTCAGGAGGAAATTTGCTAGCTTAGGGTCTATTTTAACACTTCCCTTTTTTTTTGAATTTAAAAATAAACTTTATTAAAGATTAAAAATATATATACAATACATAATACAACACATTTCATTAAAAATGAAACCAACGAGAAAGAAAATCAATAAACACGAAACATATATTTCTACTTATTTAGACGGTGTGTTCTTATCACAAACAATTTTCTAATATTCATTTTCTATTTCTGGCAAATACTCTTAAACTAACCCCTTTATCTTTTCCTTGTCTATTTATTCACTGGTTTTTATCCTTAATCCAATTGTACCAGTTTTCCCAAACTGTACAATGTTTTGAGTCTGCCTCATCTCTTAGTTTTTGGGGTAAGTATGTCCATTTCGACACAGTTGTAGGTCTTCTGGATTATCAGATTGTTGGTATCTGATCATCCTTCCAACATTGTCCAAAAGCTATTCTTGCGGCGGTGATTATGTGCAGAATTACGTATTTCATTTCTTTTGCGTATTCACCTTTTATCGTTCCCAATAGAAAAATTTTGACCTTGAGATCTAGTTGAATATCTGTAATTTCTTTTATCCAAATTCTTATTTTTTTTCCAGTATTTTTTTTTAACTTTTCGAGCACAGCCACCAAGGGTGTTAACGCTTCCATTTCTGATTGCAACGGATTCTGAATTGGAAAAAAAAAAGGAAAAAAAAAACCCATAACTTTGGATAGAGCAAGCACCCATTTGCAAATGGATCGGCTCTTAAAATTAGCAGGGCCTCTTTCGTTACAGCAAAAGAATGAATATGTAGCTGTGAGAAGGACGTTTGGAAATAACTTTTGAAGATACAATGCAGGTCCGAAGTACAGCTAGTTCTCAACGTACAGCCATTCATATAGTGACTGTTCAAAATTACTGAAAAAAAGGGATTTAGGAGTATTTTTCACATTTACGACAGTGGCAGCATCCCCTGTGGCAAAATTAAGAGGCTTGACAACACTCTCTCTCTCTCTCTCTCTCTCTCTCTCTCTCTCTCACACACACACACACACACACACACACACACACACATACACACACACACACACGAGATGCCGTTTTGCGACCTTCTGACAAGCCAAGTCAATTGGGGAAGCCAGATTCACTTAACCAGCTTCACAACTGCAGTGATTCCCTTAACAACCGAGGCAAGGAAAGTCGTAAACCAGGGCAAAACTCACCTAAGAAAGGACTCACTTTGCAACAGAAATTTGGGGCTCAATTGTCACCAATCCCAGGACTACCTGATCCAGGAGAGATTCAGCCCGGAAATAAGGAGGCATTTCCCGACAGCGAGAACGATCAACCCCATGGAACAGAAGTTGCCTTTGGGTGTATAGGGTCTCCTGCTTGATCAGGGGGTTGGACTAGATGACCTACAAGGTCCCTTCCAATGATTCCATTCAATTCCCTATTCTGCATTCTATTCCATTCCATATTCCATTCCAT